CCCCCCCCTTCCACCCTTTTCCACACTCTTTTTTCTATCTTTCATTGCACACGCGGATTTTCATTAAAAATAATTCGCTCCCATCTTTGGAGAGTATCCTAGTATCTAGTCTTAACAGCTGGAGGATCAAGCTCTATCATCAGGCCAGCACTGTTTGGAACCGCGATGGGAGACTCCAGCTAAGGTACCGAGATCATAATTTGAGATTCGTGTCCGAGTACGCTGACTTGGTATCGATATCAATCACCCAAATCTCCACTATCTTTAATTTCGTTTCGTTTCGCCAAATAAAAAAGCCAGTAAGTTAAAAATGGTTTACTCCATCAGTCTGTGCCCTTTTTGTATATGTTCTACGTGTAACATATTAAGATAAAGCATGATCCTTCAAACAAAAATGAGTAAGACGAATCCCATAAACCGAAACATAACATTTAAGTATATTGAGAGGAAGTTGGAAAGATTATGGTAGGGGCTCAGACAGACACCGGTAAATTCCCGTTTTGACATTATCTGATTTTTGAAAATTAAAACAACCAAGAAGAAAACAAACGAACGAACAAACAAACAAATAAACGAACATACACAGCTGACAATATCGATATCCTAGTAAAAGAGAGTCACCACCAAATCCCTGGCATCGTTCTCTGACAGCGCAGCGAAAGACACGTACCATCCGGGGAGATAACTCAAGCCAATGGTCGTACGTCTTATCCACAGACAGCTCCCTCCCTCATTTCATTGCCAGCTTTACCAAATTTACCGCAAAACTTCCGGATTCGTAATAACCTCTTTGGATTTAGCCACCCGCTTGCAGGGGCTATCTTTTTGAGTTTCGTTTCGTTTATCTTCTCATCATCTTTGGCTAAAGCGCTAGCGCTCCCCCCCCTCCCCCAACCCTTTCCCCCGGCTCCCACTTTCTGCCGCTAAGGTCGTTAAGATGGCCGTGAATAAAAGACCTACTTGTGTTTTCACAGCGTAGGTAAACTATTAATGGTCTATGTCTGTGCGATGAAAGACTTAGTAGTTACACTGAAGACACCCCCCCCCCCCGAACAGTGATAAGTGGTTTATTTTGTCTGTTGGGGGAATGTACGAAATTTTATAGGTTTAACGTCGCTTGTAACACTTCATGGTCATTTAAGAGGTGGAATCATCAAATTCAACATCCACCTCCGATAGTACCGATCCAATCGGTACATTTTGTGTAAAGTGCCTTTCCCAAGGTCACTATGTCGGACAGAACTGGGCTTTTAACACCCGAACCATTACGATTACGAACGAGTCCGGTACCGGTAGCCCATCTACTAGATTACCTAAATAAATAATCCATCGAGTAACCTCAGCCTCCTCTCTGAGATGAAGCATACCACACCACCCAGATAAGCCCATAAGCTCTGATTTATCCCCCTGACCTAATGACCCTATCTGTACGTCGCGTTTTACTATCGTATCCACACTACGTGGGGATCTCTGTGCCACCACTTTCCAAAGAGGAAATTTACTGTGTATTAAAAAAAAAAGATAAGTCCTAACCAAAGCTGTCTTGCATATTGCAAAAACAAAACACACAAATCAGACATCTCAACAACAATAACAATAGTGGCAGCAACACCAACAGAAACAACAACAGTAACAACAGCAGCAACAACAACAACAACAACAGAAATATCTAG